TTTTTTTTTTTTTTTTATTAAATGTTATATTTTTGATAAATTATTGATACCGATATGTTGAATTTTTGATATATACCTAGGTATGTACTATGTATAAATATTAGAAATTACTAAATACTAAATATAAATAAATCGGTTTTTCAATTTATCAATATATTGATTTTTTAATATGCTGATATTTCGATGCTGTGATAAAATATTGGTTGTATCAATTCGATATCGATATTTAAAAATATATATCGTTTGAGACCCCTATTATATATATTATAAAGATTGAGATATTTCATTAAGGTCAATATGTACAAAACAATATAAATACTTAAGAATTAATACCTTGGGTTTGCGTTCCTCCAAATTGTGGTGTTGATAATGCTGATGGTGTTTGACCAAATTGGAAAGGAGAAACAGCCGGGGGTGAAGCGGCGTTAAAATTGAAAGCTCCTTCTGATTTTTGAGGTTGTTGAGTACCACCAAAGGCAAAAGTCGATGAGTTATTAGGAGCATTGCTTGTACTTCCAAATTGAAAACCTTGATTTGTTCCAAATGTATTAGATGAAGGTGGTGATGTTGTATTACCAAATGTGGGGGCTGCATTAGGAGAAGTCATGTTGCCAAATGGTAAGGGTTGTGATGGTTGAACATTACCAAATGACGTGGTTTGTGGAGGTGCTGAACTGCCAAAACCACTAAATGTTGGTGTAGAAAATGTATTTGAAGTTTGACCAAATTTCACAGGACTACTAACATTCTTGTTAGCATTAAATTGAAATGTATTACTAGCTGAGGCAGCACTTCCAAATTTAAATGGTTCCACTGGTTTTTCAGTATTATTTGTAAATTGTAATGGTTGATTCAAGGCAGGGAATGTATTTCCAAAAGATGCTGGTTTATCGTTACTCCCAAATTTAAAAGGAGCAATATTTGAATTTTGTGACCCAAATGTTGGAGTTGAAAATTGTGTTTTAGAATCTTCTGATTTTGGTACACTAAACTGAAATGCTGTCTTATCTTGTGGAGCAGAAGCACCAAAAGGAGCAGTTTTGACTGAAGAAAATTGAAATGAATTAGTTGGTGTTTCAGAAGGTTTATCATTAAGTTTTGAACTAGAACTATTAAATTGAAATACACCATTAGCTGTGTTATTAGGAAAAAGCATGCTAGAAGTCGATGTTGCAGATTTATTTTCAGTAGTTTGGCCAAAAACTAATTTAGGTCCTTGACTGTCAATAGATTGGCTAACAGAATTAGTGAACTGAGATTTTGATTGATCAGAATTTGATGTTCCAAACACTGGTGTAGGCAATGTACCAAATTGTAATTTTTGAGGCGACTTTCCGCTAATACTATCATATTTAGGAGGGTTACTAGTAGTCAATGATAATATATTACTATTGGTTTTTCCAAAATTAAAAAGATTTTGATTTTGTAAGTTATTTGATCCAATTACTACATTTTTTGATTCTGTTGAAGATGTAGTATCAGGTTTTGATGAACCAAATTGAAATTTAATAGGTTCAGTAGTTTTTGAATTATCAATTGATTTTTGATTATTTCCAAATGAAAATAATGAAGTAGAAGTTGGATTTACAGCATCTTTAGTAGTTTTAAACTGCAATACAGGTGTTGATTGTTTGTCATCTACTTTGGGTGCACCAAATTGCATTACTGGTGTTGACTGTTGGTCATCGGCTTTTGGCGAACCAAATTGCATGACTGGTGTTGATTGTTTGTCATCAACTTTTGGAGCACCAAATTGCATTACAGGTGTTGATTGTTTGTCATCAACTTTTGATGTACCAAATTGCATTACAGGTGCTGATTGTTTGTCATCAACTTTTGATGCACCAAATTGCATTACAGGTGTTGATTGTTTGTCATC